CTCCAATAAATTGATGTTTTCAAAGTAAATGGATAATTGTTTTTAATAATCGTGATATCAATTATTGACCCAAATAATCGAGATTATGATTTTTGCCATAATCGAGCAGCCCTAGTCTTCAGTACAGGTGGCAATATTGTCACCTGCCTGTGCTCAGGCCTTTTGCATACTAGTTCCCCTTTAAGTAAAAGTACTTAAAAGTATTCTCAGAAACATGTACAGCACCTTCTTATGTAAAAGTAATGATACTGCAATAAAATGTTCCCTGTCAGTGTTTGATTTATGATGTTTCTTGATTATTGTCAGTGTCGCATTTTACTGCTGTACATGTTTAAGGTTGCACTTCTATAAATGATGATAGAAGAGGGAACCCAGCAATCTGAATACACCCAAAATGTAATTTTGTATTTCTTGTCTCAAGATGAAAAAATAAATACATACTATATACATATATTTAACAATGAATTCATCATTAAAAAATACATTTATAAATGGGGAACATTAAAAAACAAGAGAGATAAATAGTGGAACAACTGCAAAAGGAAACATTTATTATTTTATGAATTAAATATTTTCTACATTTATTTTTTATATTATATATATACTTTTTGGTCAATATAATTGCATGATAATTCATTTATTAATCCCTTATATGAAATGTATTCACTTGTCTTTAAATCAAAGAAATTATTTTTCAGCTTAAAAAAAGAGTTGAAAGTGTTAATAAAATGAGAGCATTTTGGGCGGGCCTTAGACCGCTGCAGTGCTCACATGAACCAACACAGAACATAAGTGGGGGGGACAGAAACATGGAGAAAGGTACCAAACTCTTACATGGACATTTGTAATCTGTTCCAGGCGTTGAGATTGACAAGAAATATTTGAAATGCTATTCTGTAAAGGGAATAGGCCTACTACTGTTAAAATAATCTTATGTTTAAAATAAAAGTGCGCAAAAAACACATTTTGAATACATTATTGAATTGTGTGCATAACAATGCAATTAATCGCAGAAAATCCTTTGATTAATCATGATTAAAATGTGTAATCGTTGCCCAGCAATAATAAATAGACTTAAGTGTTACCAAAGACTTTAACGTGTTACCAAAGAGTTTAAAGCAGGTGTGTCCAAACTTTTTTCACAGAGGGCCACATACAGAAAAATATACGAAGGGCTGGGCCACTCATAAAGGTGAGGTATAGAGTGGCGAAGTCCCTCCCCTTCCGGTGGACCTCCATGGGACCTTATTTCGGAAAAATTATGTATTGAAGTCAATGGAGAGAGAAAGATTATCTTTCGATCCCGTTTTAATTGTGCCACGAATTACACATATGATGTTTGTCAATTTAAAAGATAATTTTCCAAGTCAAAAAAAAAAAAATGTGTCGTAAAACTGTGAAGTAACACATTTGTTTGTGTGAAACGCTCAATGAACTACATCTCTGGTCTCACAGAACAACACACGTCACCAAGATGGCCGTCACTACTGTCTTGTCAACAAAACGATTGACTACCCTCACTATCACCACAATGAAACACGTCCGGAAGAAGGTCATGCAAAGCTGCCTGCCTGCCTGCCTTCCTTTGATTCTCTCTGAACTGCCTGGTCTTTTTAATGTTTAATGTCAACCATTTGTGCAGATAGCATGAAGTAGAGAAGATCGCCGATGCTAGCGTCAGCGTTAGCATTTCTCCCCCGGGCTTAAATTGTGTATTATAGAATGATCACACCGGTGTGACAGTACTCTTCAAAGGGTTCACGAAATATGACTACTACTATTACTGTTTAACATTTTGGGTTACTTAATGTTACTTCATGTTAAGGCTAATAAAAATGACAAGGCTGTAATGCTAACTAACGTGCTAGCTACTAGCTAGCTTGATACAACCTGGTACTAAGCACACAGGCATCTTGTTAAAGTTATCTTATCTTAGCCAGCGCCATATAGATAGATTCTATCTATATGGCACTGATCTTAGCTATCTCTTAGTGGAGGAAAGCAATTGTGACATCACTTACGCGACTCTGGGATTTGTAGTCTGTCTAGTTGCGTATTTTTCATAGTCTTATATTTCAACAGTTTTACGACAAACTGTGACTTTTTTTACATGGAAATAATTTGTTAAGATTGACAAACATCATATGTGTAATTCATGGCACAATTCAAACGGGATCGAAAGATAAGTTTTCTCTCTCCATTGACTTCAATACATTATTTTTCCGAAATAAGGTCCCATGGACCGGAAGTAGATGGACGTGACTTCGCCACTCTATATCGCCTCGTAAGTTAAGTTATAAGTTATCAAAATGTAGCTAAATTAGGCTTGATAAATGAATATGTTTTAAGAAAAAAACAGCCTACATCACAGCTCTCTCTATCGGGTTTCATTTATCTTGTTGGCAGCTCATCCCTTAAAAACAGAAGTCTCAGAGTGATTATAATAACATGAAATATGAAGGGTCTATTTCAAGCTTGTTATGTAAATAAGTTATTAGGCTTCTTCATCAACTAAGATTTGTTAGAACATTTTATCAACATGAATTGACTGAATTTATTTAAAAAGTGAGCTTATTAACACATGAACACTAGTGTGTAATATGGTTGTACATATATATTTAAGAAGTACAATATGAGAAAAGCACACGTTTCATTTGTGGGCCATATTTCATTTTACTTTTTGAATTAGCTGAGGGCCGGTGTTGTATCAAATTATGCACCCCCCATCATGAAATGCCCCCCTTGTCACGGGAACGCGCATTTCTAAATGACACGTTTACACCTTAAAACGATGTTTAAAACGAAAAGTAAACGTTCAGGGTTTTTAATTAATGGTAATTTTCAGACTGTGAGTTGTTTAGTGGTAGCTCATATAGTCTTGATTCTTGTGGTTAAACTTTTCGCTCCGTATTTGATGGTAGTGGTGTCGAAATTCATTCGTCAGTTCCTTTTCAGTTTTTGTTTTTTTTAATCTTTTTTGTTTTCTTATTATTGTTAGGTCCTGTCTGTTTACACGTGCTTTAAAATGTATCGTTTAATTTTACATATTTGTCATATAATAATCAAAATATATGTTTACAAATGTTATATAGTCTTTGTCAGCATATTTTTGCCACGTTATGCACCCCTTGCTATCTTACAAAATAAAAGTGTCACATTCATGAAACTTGCTCCATTCATTGGTACGAGTCCTACAACTATACCCTAAAAAATGCTTGAGGGTGGAAATAATAGAAACATCTTTTTGGGTGGGGTGCATTTTATGACAGGCCTGGTTATCACAATATGCCCCCCCTTAATATCTTACAAAATAAAAAGGGTCACATGCATGAAACTTGCTCCATTCATTGGTACTAGTCCTACAACTATACCCTGAAAAATGCTTGAGGGTGGGAATAATAGAAACATATTTTTGGGTGGGGTGCATTTTATGACAGGCCTGGTTTATCATCCGAGTCAGAAATTAAAAAAAATTGGAGTCAGGGCAAGTCCTGCAATTGTCCAACACATGTACATACACACAGTAATTAATAATACATGTTGAACGAAATAAAGTGACATATTATCCATACTAAAATTGTGTACATTATCACATAAAATAAACATTCATTTTGAAGATTAGAGTCCAGTGACATGGTAAGCAATCAAAGTCAGTGTGAACAACATGTCATATTCATCTTTAAAACTTGTGTTGTGTTCGAAAGCTGTTACCATTCATGGTGTTCGCGGGTCAATTTTGACCCATGATTTATCTCCATCTCCAAAACACTCCAAAATAATGACCAAACAATCCTGTTGTAATTTAAAGGTTATGATGGAGTTAAAACAATATTGGACGATAGTCATTATTTTGGAGTGAATGTTTATTTTATGTGTGATAATGTACACAATTTTAGTATGGATAATATGTCACTTTATTTCTTTATTTCATTCAACATTTATTATTAATTACTGTGTGTATGTACATGTGTTGGACAATTGCAGGACTTGCCCTCACTCCAATTTTTTTTTTTTTCTGACTCGGATGATAAACCAGGCCTGTCATAAAATGCACCCTACCCAAAAATATGTTTCTATTATTCCCACCCTCAAGCATTTTTCAGGGTATAGTTGTAGGACTAGTACCAATGAATGGAGCAAGTTTCATGAATGTGACACTTGTATTTGTAAGATAGCAAGGGGGGGCATATTGTGATAACCAGGCCTGTCATAAAATGCACCCCACCCAAAAAGATGTTTGTATTATTCCCACCCTCAAGCATTTTTCAGGGTATAGTTGTAGGACTAGTACCAATGAATGGAGCAAGTTTCATGAATGTGACACTTGTATTTTGTAAGATAGCAAGGGGGGGCATATTGTGATAACCAGGCCGGTCATAAATTGCACCCCACCCAAAAAGATGTTTCTATTATTCCCACCCTCAAGCATTTTTCAGGGTATAGTTGTAAGACTTGTACCAATGAATGGAGCAAGTTTCATGAATGTGACACTTTTATTATGTAAGATAGCAAGGGGTGCATAACGTGGCAAAAATATGCTGACAAAGACTATGTAACATTTGTAAACATATATTTTGATTATTATATGACAAATATGTAAAATTAAACAATACATTTTAAAGCACGTGTATACAGACAGGACGTAACAATAATAAGAAAAAAAAGATTAAAAAAAACAAAAACTGAAAAGGAAGTGACGAATGAATTTCGACACCACTACCATCAAATACGGAGCGAAAAGTTTAACCACAAGAATCAAGACTATATGAGCTACCACTAAACAACTCAGTCTGAAAATTACCATTAATAAAAACCCTGAACGTTTACTTTTCGTTTTAAACATCGTTTTAAGGTGTAAACGTGTCATTTAGAAATGCGCGATTCCGTGACAAGGGGGGCATTTCATGATGGGGGGTGCATCATTTGACACAACACCGGCCCCCGGGCCGTAGTTTGGTCACCCCGGTTTAAAGTGTTAATTAAGAGTAAAGGGAACATACCTGCTCTGTGTATCCGAAGCTGAGGCTGTAAAACAGCGTCCAGTAGTTTCTGGAGTCTCTTGTTCTCCTCTTTTGAACGAGACAGCTCCTCCTCGTACTCTGCTACCGTTTTTTCAAACAGAGCAAATATCTCTTCAGTAGTGAGTCGCTGCTTCTTCAACGACAGCAGCATTTGGACTTTAATCATGTTTACTAGATCACCTTTTCCTGCAAACTCCGTTAAACACACTGTTTCTTTCTCTCCATCAAACTCTCAATCTGAGTAGTGTTGCCAACGTGTTTCCAGCTAGCATGCTAAGCTAGCTCCTATAGTCCGAGGTAAACGCTCCAGAAAAAAGAGCACACAGTCCAATCGGAGGTTTATCCAAACACACAGATGATGGATCAGTAGTGCTGGAGCTCAGGAACACAGAGAGAGAGAACCGTAGCGACGAGACGCCACCTGGACCCAGTGTGACTACCCGATCTGAATCCCTGCCCGATTTAAATTGCGCAATGCGCATGTGCGAGATGGTCCGCCATATTGGACAACTACATACGGCAAATCAAATAGGACACTTGACACAGTGGCGTTTGGTAAAGCAGAAAAAGAAAAGTAAAAAAAAAACGACAATATTAATCTGAACGAGAGAGTTGAGTTATTGTTATTACAACGTGACTTCACTATTATTTAACAACGTCCTTTTATTGGGTTAAGTACATTCTCAGAATAAGTGAGAAATGGATTTAACTTCTGTTAGACAGCTATCATACTGAAGAAATATTTACTGTGAATGTATGCAAAAAGGTATGGCATTAATAATGTATATCTAATTACATTAACTGTGAATGTCTTTCATTTTATTAATTAAATACAATTACATAAAACATTTTCCATAAAAAAGTTGATTTAAGAACAAATCTCTGTTATTAGATCAGTATTTTTCTTATATGTCTATTATAGCTACATTTGAAAGATCTTTACCAGCTTTGGAATTATATATAGCAATGCAAATCGGGCAACCGTTTAAGTTTAAAACTCGTGCATGCGCAATGCATATTGGGCAGCCGTCTCGACGTCAAGTGTCCTATTTGGGTTGCCCTACACTGAAAAAAACGGGGAGTAAGATTTTTTTTTAATTATTATTAAGTATCAATCATCAAATGCCATTCTTATTCAATAAAACTGTTTTACACTAAGGCGGCTACTACAAAACATGAAACAGTAGACACTTTTAAACAACACATTTTGTTTTCTTCTGTTACATACATACATGCCATGATTAATCTACAGTTTACAATGATTTTAACAAATACTGTTCGGGTCTCCAGTGACCCGTTTCAAGTTAAAATTATATAATAACTACTCTCTAGTTTTTTTTATCGCTTCATGATATCCTCCACAACAGCTATATAAACACTACAAAACTGATTTTGACAATTTTAGCCAAGTCTGAAGGTCTCTAAAAAAAAAAAAGTATAATTTGGTGTTCGGGTCTGTGAAGACCCAGCAGAATTGTTGTGGGTGACTCTGGGTCAAATTTGTCCCAATCAAGATTCATCTTTGACTTTAGACACCCCACCCCCACCCCCTTCATCAACTGCAACAATACTTTTTTCGCAACATGCACCTGGTCTCCCATCCCTCTGGTCCCCCTCCCCCCACAGGAACTCCACCTTTCACAAAGAATATGTACACTAACACTTGAACCTGAACACACACATGCACGTGGGCAATATGTGGTGTAATGTGTTGTGGAACCATTACAACAGGATTGTCCGGTTATGAATGCATAATAAGTTAGTTATGATGTAGTTAAAACCATATTGGATGATAGTCATTATTTTTGAGTGTTTTGAACATGATAAATCATGGGTCAAAATTGACCCGCGAACACCATGAACGGTAACAGCTTTCGAACACAACACAAGGGTTAAGTAAAACATATTCATACCACACTGTAATAATACTCTATTACAAGTGAAAGTCTGGTAATGAAAATGTTACTTAAGTAAAACTATAATTAGCCAAATGCTGTTTGATTATTACATGTAAAAAGTACCCTGTAGTAAAAAATCCAATATTAACAAACAAAAACGTAATAGCTCAAGGATATTTTAACAATATTTAAATGTTTTGGTAAATTAAAAAACAGAACCTTATACTTTATAAACTCTATATAAGATAGTGAAGCACAAAGTACAATATTTCCCTTTGATTTGTAGTGGTGTATAAAGTGCAACCGAAATGAAATTCTCAAGTACCTCAAAATTCCACCACTGCTTATGCAAAAATGTGGACTTTCAAGAGAAATCTTGAGGAAATTAAGTTCAAGATGGATTTTTGAAAATGACAGAAGCGTATTTCAACTTTGATGTGTTACTTAAGTTCATTGCATGGATGATGCCTGTGAGCAGAAGGCAGGCATTCACCAAACATTTACACTCATCAAGCACCTCCGATCCCTCGATGAATATGGACACGTTGGGAGGTGTGGCGTCTTCTTTTGCTGAACTTCATCATGGGGGACATGGATCTTCACAACACTCAGCATAGTCCTTTTTCGACGATATCTTTGCCTCCATTCTGTCAAAACATGTAAATCAGTGTTAACATACAATACTGTAAACTTTTCTGTGAATTTACTAAGACTGATTGGGTTGAGCTAGCTATTTAATTCAGTGTTTAAGTAGCCATTGATTTTACATGTTCTTTTTAAGCAGAGGGGATGGGGTAAGCTTCAAACGGTTCAAAGGGCTTTATTATCATATGCACATTAGCTACTCTGTGGATATGGGAATTTATATTAACTCTTATTTGTTATGGTCAAAGTATGACTACAAGTAAGAAAGCTCAGTTTATTAACTGTTTGCTTTGTTCCAAACAGGAAGTAAACCTGATAAAATAATTGGGTTCTAGGCTCAAACTATCAATTCTCCTGAAAAACCCATTTTGAATCAGAATATTAAACATTTAAATTGAGTAAGTTTGAAAATATAAATAAATATTACACAGTAAAATGTATGTAAAAAAAAAGTACTTTATCTAAATGTTAACTTAAAAACTGGAGACTGAAGAGGTTTTTCACATAATGGCAAGATTAACTTACCTTTAGAGAATAGAGATATCCATGTACAAACAGAACAGCAGACACACAAATCAAGCAGAACATTTACCTGGTACTCTTTAATCAGCTCCTTTGCAGACTCTTCCAGAAGCTCCATCAGGCGGGAGGACGGCTTCCGTCTAACTTCAACGTGGTGCTGTTGAACAGACATGTCAATGATTGTAGCGAACACACATAACTGTAAAAGATATTGGAGACAAAGATTATGCCTTAACTTCAATTTAACGTGCTACACCATATCCTAAATTTCCCCCAATCAGCTTTAGTAAAGCACCACCTGATTAGTACACCCCCTTCCTGTATATATACATTAGTATTAATTGTAGTAGGCACTGGATAATGGTCACTTCCTACAGTGGAGTTATTCAAAACAAGCCATTCGCATGTATGAACCAAACAGTTTGACACTAATGTCAGATCCCGGCATGATACTTTCCCCCTGTGCACATCTACTCTTGTGCCATGTCCATCATTAAGGCATACTAGTGTTCTTTCCTCCAGCCTTTTTTCCACTATATTTCCGTTACTGTCTATATGGTCGCTGCCCCATAAACTGTTGTGTGCATTGAACACCATATTTCCTTAATATGTTTAATGCCTGCTATTTCTTTAAATATGTCAGTGGTTAGATTTTGACATGGGTTGTATAAATTGATTATCCTAATGTTATCTTGTTTTCTAGGGTTGCAGATTTCCACTATAATACTCTCTATATCATCAGGAGATTGCACCTCCCTATATGCCACACCATCTATCATGCCTTATACAGCTAAATCCCGGAATGACAAAGTCTAATTGAGGTTGTAACCAGGTTTCTTGCACACGTATTACCTCAGGGACCACCTCTAGATCATATATATATTTCTTGAATTCCTGACCATTAGCTATGAGGCTTCTTGCGTTCCACTGTAGTATGTGCAGCACCATGATTAAGGATCTAACCCTCATCCTGAATTTCATTTTCCCCAACTCCATTTATAGCTAGCATTGCATGTATCTGGTCTGCTTTAATATATTTAATGTCAAGGAATTGTCCAGCTGCCTCCACAATGGCTTTGATTCTATCACTTTTATATTTTAGCTGTAATGCAACATTTATAGTATGACATATGAAGACCACAAAATTCACCTTTTTCACTCATAGACAATCATCATCCTCTTTACTCTTGGTGGCGCTGTGGGGTTGGATTTGAAGATTACTTTTTGGTGTGTTCCTGCCATTTTGTATTGTAATTCTCTGCTCCATTCCACTAGGGGTCTTATTAGGCGCGTTCACACCGGAGTACTTTGGAGTACTTTTCCCACAATAGTTCATCAGAACTACGATATATTTGCGTTCACACCAAAAAGCCCCAGGAACTAAAGTAGTTCAAATTAGTTCGTCTGACCCGCTTTTCAGTCCCTGCTAGAGAGCAGGGACTGTCGTGGGAGAAAATAGTTTGTACGTCTGATTGGCTGTGCGGAATGCAAACCATGCCCGTTTGACTCTGAATTTTTTTTTGCAATTGTATTTGCTCGCTTCGGGCCAGCGCACCCGAAGAGATTACTTTTGTGAAAGCAGTTATTATAGCAACACTAAATAAATCATCGGAGTGGTGGAGTGATGAGGATGTGTCGGCGCTTCTGGCGATTTACTCGGAGGACGCGAAGCGCCGCATTCAGAAGCTTCTACTGAATGCAGTTTCCGTGGATCAGCAAAGTTAGCAGACCTGGCAAAGTCATGTCGGGACGACTACGAAGGTAAAATAAAATACATGCACTGCACTGTTTTAATCTGCACAATACTGGTCTTAGATGTACTTTTATTTGCTCAGTAGATCGAGCTAGCCATGCTAGAACTAGGTCCAAGCTGGCTAACAACATCTAGCTAGCTAGCTATTCTCAGCCGTCCCCGCTATGAACACGTTTTGACTTGTGAATAAGTGTGCAATGTTCTGTAATTTGCTTCACTAACTCATGGCACTAATCGTGTGTTTCAGGCGAGGTGTTTCTCTCAGGATTAGAAACTAGTTTTCCCCTCCGGGATAAAACGATAATATAACGTTAGCAATTAGCATGCTAGCTGGACATAATGCTACCTCTAACAATACATTGTAGTTGCTATAATTTCAAGTCATTTGCAACATTCATTCTACATGTTAATGGTAAAAGCTTAAACAGTTGATTACCTGCATGCCACAAAGACTGATGTTCTAATATTTTTGCACATTTAAGTAGAAATGTAATTGAAATTCTATTTATGTTTCCTTTTTTTTTTATATTGTTATAATTGTACTCAGCCATGTTATGTTAGATGTCAATCCACTTACACTGTAACTACTCTGGCCTTGAAAGAAGGTTACACATCTAACTGATGTCCACTAATCCCTATAAAACAAAGTTCAAGCATACATTAAGCACAAAACAATAAATAAGGGCACTTTGATATTTATTTTTTATTTGATATTATTTGATCCTATCTTATACCTGCACCATGTCCAATGTTGGACAATGTTGTCTCGTTGTTGCGATTAAACTGATCTTGTATCTTGCATATTTCACCTTAGGAAAGTGGGCACGCGATGACAGCTTCCTTGACACCATCATGGCGATGGACCGCCGTGCCATGGTCAGCAAGGAGAATGAGGACCTGCGTGCCAAGGAGATGCACGACGAACGGCTGCTGCATTCACACAAGGCCCAGGAATCGGACGACTAGCTGCTCATGGTGCCAGGTGGAGCAACAAAATACCTTTCAGGCTGGGCTTCTGGCAGTGCTAAGCGAGCTGATTAAATCCAACAGGCCTTCAATACAAAAATTAAGAAAAACTTGTCGTCGTTGATAAACTGTACAATGACTTGTTGGGAGGCGTGTGGTGCAGTGGTCTGGTGCGTTGGTGTTCGGATCAGGGGAGCACAGGTTCAAACCCCACTGCAGTCAGGATGTTGTTGTGTCCCTGGGCAAGACACTTCACCCCAAATTGCCTACACCTGGGACAGTTAATTTTGTATTATTGTGATTATATATATATGCCACTGTTATTAATACTGACACCTAACTTTGCACTAAGGTGTGTCTGCTGCTGAGCCTACCTATTGTTATTATATATATATATATATATATATTGCCACTGTTATTATATTGTTTTGATACTGACACTTATTGATCTGCTGCTGATAAATAAAAGAGAACCTACATGCACAGCACTAGCATCATGACTGTCTTTGTTTAAACCAGCAGCAGTGCAGCGGTACACAGACTAACCTGTGTGTGTGTAACGTAGTTCTTCAGGTGTGTATGCTTAACATGTATGTATTTATCACAGTAAAGATGGTATACAAAAGCTTTTTAAAGAGCTTTCAACCTCATCCCATTGTCTTTAACACACATTTAACATAATAATATACTCATATTAATATACAAATATACAGTATGAGTACTGTTTTGATACTGACATTTAATCTTTGCACTAAGGTGTGTCTGCACTATTGTAATTGTGTCTGTTGACTGTGGTAAATAAAAGAGAGAACCAAATGCACTGTACAAAAGATCAGCTTTATTGTCAATTTACAATTTCCATGCTGTTCAGATGCCTCATAAGGGCTGTGCGCGTGTCTTGCCCCGCGGCGATTTTTTTAGGTTGCTTCCAGGCGAAGTTGAAAAAGAGCCCTTGGACATTCGGAAATCTTTGATCCACTGCACATTGGTGTACGTTGGCACCACCTTCTCCCACCAGGCCGATGTTCTATTGTTCACCCAGAGAGAGCGCGGGACACGACGCATTCCGTAGTATTCGCATATCTGGAACACATACAAAGATACAAATTAGCCCTACATAACTCCATAAATCCTACATTAGATAGTATTAATGTGATTTAATGAATGTACCATTGCTGTTCTTTGGGCGTGATAACGGTCCTCAGCTGTCCTACAGCGAAACATGTCCATAGCGTGTGCTTTTCGTCGTCCAATCCTTTTGTTAAGGCTTCTTAACCGCCTTCGCCTCCGACTCAGCATTTCTATTGCATTTGATTGGTCGATCTGTATTTGTATTTGTGGCTGAGTTATTGGCTTAAATAACTCAGTTACGAAGCTGTATAACACGAGCACCAAAACGTCAACTCCATACCGTGTCTGAGGTCGGAAGGTAAACAGAAGCATACAGCGGAAGCGGAAGTTTTTTTTCTTCTTCTTCTCTCGGTTTTTTGGCGAATTGCAACTTTAAGGTGCATACCACCACCTACTGTACTCGCCGTGAAGTTGTTTGCGGCCTGCCAGTAAACCCAAAGCAGAAGAAGAAGAAGTGACGTCAGCGGCTCATTTGCCTAATCCATCCCCAGGAACTCATTTTGGTGTGAACGCGATCTGCTTTAGTTCATCAGAACTAACAGAGCTCTCATGAACTAAAGTTCTCATGAACTACTGTGAGAAAAGTACTTGGTGTGAACGCCCCTATTGATTGTTACTGTTCCCCTTGCTTTCTTTATTGCTTCTGCGTATGAAACTTTGTTTGTAATCTTGACTCTCTGCACCTCTCTGGCCTCTCTCTGCATTTGACATCCTCCAAACGCAGCACTGTGATCTCCTCGGCAGTTACAACATTTAACCTTTGCATCAATTTCACATTTTCCATACTCATGTTGTCTTCCGCATCTCGCACACCTTAGCTGTCCTTTACACTGCTGCGCTGTGTGCCCCATTTGTTGACATGAGCACCTGAGAGGTTTGGGGATGTACTCCCTAACAATGAAGTTCAAATATCCCATTTGTACTGCATTAAGGTTCTCTCAAACTGAATGAGAACTGATAATGTTTCTTTGAGTGTGCCATCCCGTTTGCTTTTAAGCCTTGTGGCTTCCACTACTTTTCCTCCTTTTATTTCATTTTTAACATCTTCCATTGACATGTTCAATGGTACTCCTGAGATTAGTCCTCTCAGTTTTGCCATTGCTCCTGGGACATGCACCTTCATTTTCTCCCCATTCAGTGAGTTCATTCCGAGAATCTTTTACTGCTGCTGTTTGATACTAGCCTATGTATCAATACCCGCTTGTTGTTCATGAACTTAGCACATTTAATTTTTCCAATCTCTTTTTCAATTGCTTTGGTAAGTTTAATCGGGTGGTAATGCCCACCATCCTGATTGAATTATATTACAACTTTCCACTCGTGTTCTAGTTCTTTATTCAAAGTTGCTTGGCTGTCATTTTGACTCACTTTTGATTTTTTGTTTTGGCTAGCCTTGTCTGCTTCACCAGACCAATCCGACCAATCCGACCAACTTTGCGCTCTTACTGAGCTATCTCTTTCTCCCAAAGCCTTTTTCTTCCTCACGGCTTTGGATATCATCTATTCCATATCGGTTATTTGGCTACCATCTGAGCTGGTTGACATGATGATAGAGTTAATGTACCGTTTATGCAAATCCGCCAAAATAACAGTCCAATGCTACAGTTTCTGTATGTTTCCGAGTTTTCCGATTCTCTCTGAGCTATCTGCAATGCGTCTCCGACTTCACTTCCTTCTTCCGGTCTGCAATCCACGTCACGCCCGCCCGACTCGCTCAATCCAGCCCGGACGTTGCATTACCGCCTACTACTGGATAAATAATAAAACCACCCTTTCAAAATAAAAAATAAATAAAAAGTATTATAACTAACGGACAGAGGTGGGAAGTAGTGGAGTACAAATACTTCGTTACTGTAATGTACTTCTGGTATCAGTACTTCACTTCGTACTCCACTATTGTTCTGAGGACATTTTACTCTTACTTCTTACATTTTTAACACAAATACCTGTACTTTCTACTTTTTACATTATCAAAACAGGTTTGTTACTTTAGTTTTAATCTGTATTTGGTAGCATGATCATTATTATTTAGAGTCATCAGCGTTGCTGACATTAGCAGTTTCTAATAATAGGAAAAACAATAATATGCAACCAACCTTGATGAGAGGGGTGCGCCCGAAGAAGAAACCAAACATGTAGGCCATAATGTTGTTACAGACTACACAGGAAATCGGCCCAAGGAACCTGTGAGAAGAGAAGAGTTAACATGAGACTCATAAATAAGAGACTTAGAGAAAACAAGTTTTGTACAACAAGGCATGTAGGAATGTCTTTGGATTTTTCTTGCCAATAAACACGGTAAACATAGTTGGTACAGTTTTTTTCATTTAAATGCAATGAGGTACAGTTTTAGTATAGTATTAAAAGTGTTAACATTTATTGAAATGGTAAAACACAGTGGAATATTTTCTTTTTAAAGACAGAAAGAAACTATTAAGGTGAAGCTTTATCTGAAGACGATACATTTATCGTTTATTTAGTTTATTTACCAGATCATCCCGCCAAACAGGTTGTGAATGATGAGGTGAGACTGAGTCACCACGATCAGCAGAGTCACATGAGTCCAACCAAACTGTGGAGACAAAACATAATTAGGAAAATATGTTTACAATCATTTACCTGACAATCAACCCAATTATATTCATGAGTGTCCTTGTTCCAAATATGTATTGATAGATGTGATGATGGTATAACACCCAAGGGATTACTGTCAGCTGTGACTACACTGAGATGGGATTTGGCTGAAAAGGATATAGATAGTACTTTATTGATCCCAAATTGGGAAATTGTTGTTGTTACAGCAGCATAAAAGGCATTTTACAATAAAACAAAACTACAAAATATACAAGAAAAGAAATAAAAATAAAATAAAATATAAAATATAAAATATACATGTCGAAATAGAAAATATACATGCAGATATTATATATATATATACAAATATATATATATTCAAAATATATGGAATATGGAGTATAAATATTGAACAGATTATAGAGTAAAATGTACAACGTGGTTTTATTTCAAGAGAAACTATGGAGCAGAGAGTTCTCTTCCAGCCAGAGGTGATTTATTGTACAGAGTTATTGCAGTGGGCAGGAATGTTTTCCAGTATCTGTCCTTGTGACAGGGGAGCTGCAGCAGTCTGTTGGAGAAGGAGCTCCGTTGACTGTCCAGCTGCAGGTGGAGAGGATGGGTGGGGTTATCCATGATGGACAACAGCCTGTTCAGTGTCCTCCTCTCCACCACAGCTTCAAAAGGGTCCAGCTTGATGCCGATGACTGACCCAGCTTTCCTGATCAGTATTATTATATTGATCCTGCTGGTGTCACCGTCTCTTATGCTGCTCCCCCAGCAGACCGCAACAAAGAAGAGTGCACTAGCCACCACAGACTGATAGAAGATCTCCAGCATCTTGCTGCATACGTTGAAGGATCTCAGCTTCCTCAGAAAATAGAGTCGGCTCATCCCCTTCTTGTACACAGCGTCAGTGTTGATCCTCCAGTTCAGTCCATTGTCTAAGTGCACTCCCAGGTACTTGTAGACCTCCACAACTGCCACATCCTCTCCTAGAATGCACAGGGGCAGAGGAGGAGATGTCCTCTTCCTCCTGAAATCAATTACCATCTCTCTGGTCTTGGCCACATTCAGAAGCAGATGATTTCTTCCAGTCCACTCAACAAACATTAGCTTGATTAAATAAAAAATGTGTTTGAAGGCAGTGTATCCTATTTAACATTAAGAGCTGTGTTTTTGTAAACCTCAGGCTCCATATTTAATATATATTCATTCATACATTCCACTGACACAAGACTAAGGCTTTCCATTATCGGCAGTGTTTTAGGGCCATTGTAGATTTTTTTAAATCAAATTAAATAGAAAGGGAGGAGGGTAATATTCCAAGAAAATAAGCAAGATTAAGTCGTAAAAATTGTATTGATATTCTCTGAGATTTGTAAGGTTAATTTACCATAAAAATCAGGCTTTAACAAGAACAAAAGTATATTAAATTCCTACATTTGGGGGAAAAATAATAAAAATAATTAATATGTTATAAGTATTTTTTATTATTTGTTGTATTGCTCCACTTGCATGGTTGGATGAACCTCTATCAAACACTTATTTTTTTTAAAGTTATCACAGTTAATTTACAAATGTATTATGAGTTATTTCCCAGACTAATACACCCTTCCGCTGGCTTTTAACCAACATAGGCCCCAAAACTAGGGTTGCAAAATTCCGGGAATTTTCAAAGATGGAAACTGTCCATGGGAATTAATGGGAATTAACGGGAATAAACTGGGAATTTTCTAAATTGAAGGTTGGCTCTTCATAGGGAACTTAAATATAGTTGGGGAAAGTATATTTTAGCATAATCTTGACTAAAACAAACAGATGCCATTCAAGTACACTTGAATATCCATGCCATTGCACACTGCTTACTGCATGGCTATTGAGACCACACAAAGGTTCGCAACAGGCTCACAAATGTGAGATGGAAAACCTGGTTGGCATTCGGGCAAACCTAAGGCTCTTTGAGCCTGACACAGAGACATCCTCAACAAGGCTGGACAGTGACACTGAAGAGGAAGACTCAGAGTTGGATGTTGATGAGGCCCAGGAAGAGCCCATTGACTGAAAGGGTTTAGCAAAAATGCAGAGGATTGCTTGAAGGAAGATTTGCATGTTTAATGGGACTTTTTGGAGGGAGAAGGGCTCTTTTCATTTAACATTTTGAATGGGACTTTGTGGGGATTTTTGGATGGGGGGTGCATTTTTGTTCATTTTTGAATGAGTGGGGTTGGGGGCGATGAGTAATATTTAACTCAACATTCCTGTTTTCGTTCTTCAATGAAACAAATAATTGTTGAATAAAATAATTAAAACTTGTTCTGTTCTTTTCTGGATCCATCCACTATCTCTTGTCTCTGTCCAGTGAATTACACTTGTGTTACTGGAGCAGGTAAAGCAACAGATACTTTCAGCATTATCGGAGCACGAAGTGGAAGCTTGGATGAAACACAACGGACTTTTAAACAATGAACACCCGAAACTTAGAAGAAATAAAGTTGGGTTTTATGCCTTCTAATATTGCAATGCAAACCCATGATGTATTGACAGTAATTAAGAATAATTTAGTCATTGAATGCTCATTTCAGTAGATTTAATCAAACAAAAAATAAACATATTGGACATGGCCTCAAGACTGTAACCTCTTCACATTCTGTTGAAATAGTAAATTACTAGCCATATCTTACACATTGCTGGTTTGAATCATTAATATGTGGATGACAGTTAAACTGGATGATGTAACACTTATGCCACCTGCTGGAAAGAAGACGTATCGCTCTGTTGGCGTTGTTTGGACAACAAAAACAGAGTTAAACTCTCATTTCATAAACAATCTTTGAGTACAGACACCGTCCTGCAGAGAGCACACAACCCAACAGCACGTTTTTGGTCGAGCATCACTTTACAAAACGTTTGCATTAAGACACTAAGGCGCCGTTTACACGAGGAGAAAACTGCTTGTATCTGCATAGTTTCGCGTGCGTATAGCCCTATTATTTACACGAGGCCGATAGAAACTGACCCCACAAACGATAACGGGTCCCAAGGTGGATAGATTTGCAAACGAAACGCTCTGGGGGGTCAACCGAGTCCGTGTAATCACCTCTATACGAATATTTCCTGAAAAAATAGCGATACCCCCACCTCTCCCCACCTCTCCTGCTCACTGCTGTAGCAACTATCAAAAATAGCTGTGTTAATTAAACGCACAAGGGGTTCTTGAATGAAATAATATTATAAAAGGCAAACCAGAATTGTTAACGCCCAATATACTCCTTAAACAAAATAAACAGAGTCAGATTTCATGCATTGATCCATTATATTGACAAAGGAGCGATCTCACCCGGTGTTTGTAGAGAATATCTCTCTTTCTGAGCCGTCCTCTCCACAGAGACGTGCTTCTTGGTCGGTCGATGCAATATCCACAGATTCGGTTTCTTTCAGTTAACTTCCCCGTTGCATTTATCCATATGCTGAGGAAATGACTATATCCCGCTGAATACCAGCAATCGCCACACACACTTCCTCCTGTCAGTAGCTACTGCTGGTGCTACTGCTACTGACCATGCTACAGATATTAGTGCAAAATCTACAGCTCCTCCACCACAACCATCAGCAACAAGTGGACATGGAGAATTACATGAACTACATGTTGCTAAATACACCGCGGGGCATAACCAGAAGGGTAGCCATGGCAACATTGCGGCGGGGCTGCTCGGGCTGCTCTTCTTCACTGCTTTTGGTGTATTTTGGCGGAAGTTACAGCGCCACTTACAGTCCCGGCATATGTACTACAGCGTTTCCAGCGGCCTCGTTTGAACAGACACGTTAAATGAAACGAATGCATGTGAACGGAAGACTTTTTTGAATACGCATACTGTGCATAAACGCAAACGTTCCCGTGTGAGTGGGGCCTTATGGCGCGTTTCCACTACACGGCCTCGCTCGGCCCCGCTCGGTATGGCTGGGCCTCGTTAGGACTGGCTCACTTTATGGCGTATTTCCATTACAGTTTAGGAACTGGGGTAGTATCTATAGTAACGCAGTGTAGGCGGAGCCGTGACGTGATCTTCAGAGAACCCCAGAAAAACAACACAGCCGTTAGCTGTTAGCACTCAGAGCTCACAGCTCCTCATATATGTTCAGAAACTAGACAAAAGTTAAACTAGTACAAACCACAGACTGCCTGTGTCATGGTGAATACAGTCGCTGCTTTATTTATGTCTGTATAGGCTGTTGTTGTGAGTGTGGACGGTCGGAGCATATACTGCGTTAGCTTAGCCAATCTCCATTTAGAACACACGCATTTTAAAAGGTTTTTCGCCTGCCGTCTGTCTGCAGACTTGACAAAGCATTAATTCATGGTTTTTACTAACCGGTATCAGTATGTTGTTACTTCGGCATCATTTTGAAACGTGTATTACAATTAAATCACGGTCAAATATGTCCATCTTGTTGTAGTTGTAGCCCCCTTGCCAGCGATGCTCTCTCTAGTTTAGCATACTCAGCCCGACTCAGCCTCGTTGTCTCTGGCCCTAGACCCGCGATTTTATGAGGCCAGAAAAACTGTGAATTAGGACCCGCCGGCCGGTACTAGGCCAAGTGGAAACGCAACCAAAGACGGGCCGCTGACGTCACAGCCCTCTTAAACCGTGCTCCGCGCTGTAGTGGAAACGCGCCATTAGAGACTAGCTGGTCCATGGGCGTCGCAGCCATTATATGAGGGTGGGACAAGTCCCCCCCACTTTTTCAAATGATTAGTTTAGACCCCCCTTTTACTATGCGGACAGTCCGTGAATCGGTCTATCCACTCGCCGCACTTTGTAGAGTGCTGTGTCAGTGCTTCACTATCAAATGAAATCCATTCCACTTGCTTATTGAGAGAATGCCCAAATCAATGAAACTCCGTACCATGTTTTCACTGCTACTTTATACCAAGGCAGATTCTCACATAGCGCGCGCATGTTCAAGGAGTGTTGTCATAGTTGGACAGCTCAGGGGCCTCATTTATAACGCCTTGCGTAGGATTGACGTAGGAAGGTTGCTTACGTAGTACAAAGCACAAACATAGGTACATACATTTTCCGCCATTTTCCGATTCACAAAACATTGCGTACCGCCGAGGGAAGTGCGTACGGCACTTCCTACGCCTGTTTCCCTTTATAAATCACAATCGACTCGTAACGCCCATATTTGCCTATAAATAGTCAAAGAAACGCCCATTCATTCATTCATTTTGACTGACTGCATGAAGAAGATCGCAGAAAATGACGATAGAACAGCTAAAAAAGACATCTCACACCGTGTCAGATTTAGGTTATTTTGGGGAGGTCGAGATAAATCATATTGTTTGGTGGATGCAGTTTGAACCAGAGTAGCAGCATGGAGGTCGGATCGTCACCAAAATAAATAAATAAGTGGTCCGAAAAAAGTTAATGACAAAAAAAATACACATAACCTTCCTCAGGCAGTGTGTTTGTACCGGGGACAGGAGACACCCCCTTGATGAGAAACTGTAAGAAATGATCGGGGAATCCCTCCGGAGTGGAGTCATGACGACTGGATCTGAATTATTTTGTTGTATTTGGTGGTTTGTGTTCCAGCTGTCGATCAGCAACTATATATCCATAATCCACCAGTTAAAGGAAATACAACTAATGTGTTGTGTTATATATTAGCTGTACAATTTACCACATATGGTGTTCTTAGTTTCCATACCTCCTGTGTTTTACGAGCGACTTATCAAGTCTTGGCAAACGGCATAAAACACGATTAAACGTGATAGTATATAAAACCATGTTCGTATCTACAACCTATAGAAATGCAAAACGGCGTCAGTTTAGACGTAATTCTGTCCTCCTGCTTACCGCATCATTTATGAGAAAACATTTCATAACATTAACACAACATATTCGAGGTGGTTTTAAATAGCATATCCGTATTTATTTATTTCTCCAAGTTATGTTTTTGTGTGCACTGAGGAGTCTCAAACAGGCGTTTGTTTAATCATTTTAAGATTGGCTTTAATCAATGTTTGAAAATGAATTCTTCATATTTGATAAATGAGAGGTAACATTTTATTTATGGTATTATTTCCACATATTTCTCTCCATTCTTCCTTCTGCCAACGGTGTGGCAGTTTCTCGTCTCTCCCGTTTGTGTGCTTAGTGCGCACCATGGGTTAGAGTTTGCGTGGAGGACAGCACATTTTCCCGTCAGGTTAGTATTTTATAAATCGCAAACATTGCGTAGAAACTGGCGTACGCCATTTTTTGAGCGTATATCCCTTTATAAATGAGGCCCCTGGTCTGTTGTATGAAGCGATGCCGGTAGCGGAGGTAAGGCACACACACCAAATGTTCAGGAAATGGTTAATACAGCGAAAATCAAAGCTGACGATCTCTTGGTTTGATATGTTTTCTCCCCCAGACAACATGGACATAAGAACATTTTTTTCAAAGAAGAGGAAAGTAAGTCATCAGCTGGTAGCAGTTAATCAGTTAACAGTGAGGGCGGCGTCTCACTTCTGGAGAGGAGTTTCGTCTTTATGTCATGATGATAGAGAGATACAAATACTGAATAGTTTAGATGAGAAAAGGCATCGAAATGCCAGGTTACTAGTATTTATCATGTACACAGGGAACATGAATAACCCGATCTCTCTGTGCTCATGTAAACACCATATCCCCAATATGATCATAACCGGGATAATACTCATAAACGGCTTACTGATGTCCATGTAGAGACGCAGTCTGTGTGTTTTACTGGAGCCTCAGTTCGATAAGAGATTCTTTTCTGAGTTCTTTAACTTAGGTACTCTCTCTCAAAATGGTAATGTGCATTATGTTTTAATTATACTTCTTATCATTCAGAAGCTTTTTGTGTGTGTTTATGTTTTACTGAGTGCTTATAGGCGATTTCCATCCCAGTATTCAGTTAACTATTTATTTTCTGTGCACATTACATAGACTAGCTAATATTCTACCTACTGCTTGGGACTTTGAGTCTTCAAAATGTCCAATGTCACAGACTGGGACTTACTTTAGAGTCAGTTGTATTTACATTCAGTATGACTTGTTATGATTCAATGTGAAAGAGTATACTGCTCAATAAATAATGATCACTTCACCACCTCTCTTGACATCTAGGCACTTGAGAGTGAGTCAGAGGCAGAATACAGGGACAGTGGAGAGAGGTCCATTGCTGAGGTGAGTGATGAAAGGGAAATGACAGTTGAGAGTAAATTGTGATGTGGACTCTCATCCCAGGATTTTAAGGAAATCAGTGGGGATATTGAACAGGAAACATTTCAGTCAAGGGGCATCATATGACCAATATAGACAGAAGAGCAACATTTATTTGAACATTTAAGTCAATGATACCATTCCTAGGTGAACTTAACATCTGTATGGAGTCAGATCAGTCTCAATATTAATAAATGCTCACAGAAGGATTCACAAATGTATTTTGCGATTTATATATAAATGACTCTCCACAACAATATCTCTCAATGCACTCACAAATATTTATTGTTGTATATAAATGTACAAAAAATGGGCATTTAAACTGCTTTTTATTAATTCAAAGACAGCTCTGAATTAATAATCAAATATGTTTCCTTTCTTTACTACTGGATGAAATTACAAAATGTACCCATAATTTTCCTCATGCTAATAAAGCCACATAAAAGTATCAAACCACCTGTTAAAATGCACCAGAATACAGGAAATCTATATATTTTTTCACCCCCCGTTAAAAATGTCCCCCCCACATTCAGGATGCTTCCTACGACCATGAGCTGGTCCATTGTAAAGGTCAGTCTACCTTAAATGAGCAGTGGGCGATCAGCAGGTGAAAGGCAGGACACGGGAACTTTGTCCTGAGGAGATGTAACGATTATTAAACAAGAAAGTTGTAGAGTCAAGGGGTAAAAAAAAGGAACATTTGTGACTATTAGCGAATCGGTTGCAGGTGGGTGAAATCAGGCTTAGGGAGTAACGTATTGCATGTAACGGCATTAGGTCATCAGGATACAAAATAGGCAAATGTGTTCCCTTAGTTACAGAAGCAAAAACAATCAGATAACAGGTACATTTATGTAAAACAGGATTAAGAGGATAGCAATGATACAAAACATTTAGAAATAAAGAACAATACATCAAATCATCGTATATCTCTATATGGAAACTTGGAGCCCTCAATCCACAATAAAATGGTTCATCAACAGTCAGTGGTTAACGTATAAATCAGAAAATCAGTATGACAAAAACATTAAACATATTGTCCACTTATGTTGATAAAGATGGAGTTCATTTAAGTCTTATATGAATGTTGGGCAACAATGTTAATCAGTCAGGCAGATTTTTCTCATGTGTGAACTGTCATAAGACACTTCACCCGAATTTGCTCCTGTGGGTATTGTCCACAGTACATGTATAATATCAATGTGTACTTGTAAGGCGCCTCGATGACTTTGAGGTGTGAAGATGGGCGGTGTGGCGCAGTGGGCTGTGCATTGATCATCAGATCAAGGGGGCGATACCCGCCTCTGCTTCTGTAAAGCCGTTGTGTCCTTGGGCAAGACACTTCACCTGGATTTGCTCCTGTGGGTATTGTCCACAGTACATGTATAATATATGTGTGTAATGTGTATCTGTAAAGGGTCATGGAAAAAGCACTATAATAAATATAAGAAATTATTATTATTATTATAAGACTTATTCATTGTCCTCTCCATCAGCTTCTGTTTCCATATGTTCAGCTGAGCTGCTTATTGGAGGCTCTGCCTCTCAGTTATCCTCAGTTTGAATTTCATTAAGCTGTGAGGACTGACGACCAACACATTTGTGTTTATTGAAATGATTACGCTATTTAAATATTTGGTCACAAACATTGCAGCTGAATATTTCCTCTCCTGTGTGGACTCTCATGTGTTCCTTTAAATTTCCATTCTGTGAAAAAGCTTTCTCACAAACTGAGCAGCTAAAGGGTTTCTCTCTTGTGTGAACTCTCATGTGTGCCTTTAAATTTCCTCTCAGTGAAAAAGCTTGCATACAGACTGAGCAGCTAAAGGGTTTCTCTCCTGTGTGGATTCTCATGTGTCTCTTTAAACTTCCACTCCGTGAAAAAGCTTTCATACAAACTGAGCAGCTAAAGGGTTTCTCTCCTATGTGGATTCTCATGTGTCTCTTTAAATTTCCACTCCGTGAAAAAGCTTTCATACAGACTGAGCAGCTGAATGGTTTCTTTTCAGCACTACGTCGTGGATCACTGACAGATTCATGTCTATTTTTCAGTGAGTTTTAGTCTGATGCAGGTTCTCTGGTCTCCTTCCAATCAGCACTGTCTTCAGTGTCAGGTTCAGAAGAGTCTTCAGTGTCCGGTTCAGAAGAGTCTCCAGTGTCGTCCTCAGTCTTTGGTTGTAAACTGCTCTCTGGATCTGAGTTCCTGGCTGGTTCTGGTCCTCGACAGTCATCTCCATCAGCTTCTGTTTCCATGTGTTCAGTTTGTCTTTGATGAGGCTGTGAGGACTGAGGTTTCTCTTCATCATCTTCACTCTTCACAGGGTCAGGAGTGAAAGTGGACATGGTAATATCAGCCTCCTCCAGCTCCTGAAGCTGCTCTCCCTCCTGATTGATCTTGAGTTCCTGCTGTTCCTGCTTAATGTGTGGGGGGGGGCTCTGGGTCCTCCTGGTCCAGACTGGTGCTCCACTCCTGCTGGTCAGGGAGAACCTCTTCTTTAACCACCACCAGCTGCTGGACTTCTGCAGGAAACAGGAAACACAGTCAGAAAAAACTGTCAGGATTTATCCTTTAACGTCCACATAAAATCAATTTCAAGGACCGCCTACTTCCATCTACGTAACATTGCAAAAATCAGGCATATCTTGCCTCAAAACGATGCAGAGAAACTAGTCCATGCATTTGTTACTTCAAGGCTGGATTATTGTAACTCTTTATTATCAGGGTGTACCAAGAAGTCAGTTAAGTCTATTCAGCTGATTCAAAATGCTGCAGCACGTGTACTAACCAGAGTTAGGAATAGGGACCACATTACTCCTGTTCTGGCTGCCTTACACTGGCTCCCTATAGAACACAGGATAGAATTTAAAATTATTCTTCTCGCCTACAAAGCCCTTAATGGGCAGGCTCCATCTTACCTTAAAGAACTCATTATACCCTACTGTCCTACTAGGGCATTGCGTTCCAAGAATGCAGGGTTGTTGGTTGTTCCTAGAGTCTCTAAAAGTACAATGGGAGCCAGAGCCTTTTCTTATCAAGCTCCACATTTGTGGAATCAGCTTCCAGTTTGTGTTCAGGCGGCAGACACCCTATTTGTTTTTAAGAGTGCGCTTAAGACCTTCCTTTTTGATAAAGCTTATAGTTTGGGCTGATTAGATTCAGCCCCTAGTTTTGCTGCTATAGGCTTAGTTTGTTGGGGGAAACCTTACTTCTTCCTTCTCTCTGTCTGTACCTGTGTACTCTCATGTTCCGAATAACCCAGCTTCCCCAAATTTCTTTTTGGTGTCTATCTACGCCGGGATCCTGAGTCGTGGCTGATCCTGTTGCTGTGGTCCTGAGTCCTGGATCGCGAGCCCTGGATCTTGAGTCGTGGCTGTGCCTGTTGCTGTGGTCCTGGATCATAAGTGCTGGATGGATATCCTCGTGGATTCATCTTCTCATTATAGACACATGCATTTCCAAACATTTGGACTACCTATGTTGCAAATGTATTATCTTTTCAATTTACACACGGCATCTATTGCACGTCTGTCCGTCCTGGGAGAGGGATCCCTCCTCTGTTGCTCTCCCTAAGGTTTCTCCCATTTTCCCCTTTAAACTGTGGGTTTTCCCCCGGAAGATTTTCCTTGTACGATGTGAGGGTCTAAGGACAGAGGGTGTCGTATTGTCATACTGATATTCTGTACAAACTGTGAAGTCCACTGAGACAAATGTAACATTTGTGATATTGGGCTATATAAATAAACATTGATTGATTGATTGATTGACTATACAAAACATGTCTTAGGTTTTTTGCTTAAAATACCAAACAGATCACCCATTGTAGCCATGCCTCATACCACTCTATTCTAGCCCTGTTCCAAAAAGGCTGATTCTGTGACCATAGCTTTAAATGGAACAGCTGCTGCTAGCCACGCCCCTTTGTAGCGTCATGCAGCTTTCCCCTGCTAAGAGTTTTCTACCTGGAGAAACTCAGCTAAACGCTGCCGTGATTAAATGCCATATTATGTTCCAAACCACTTCAAGCATTATTTCTGAAACAGTATGGAGCTCAAACCTTTCTCTCTCGCAGGGTTTACCGCAAGGACATCTCGTTACACATATTCTCTCCAGTACAGCGTTAGCTCTGAGTGTTAGCATGCTTGCTAATGTAAACACAGACCATATTACTCCCAAAACACGCAGCACATTGTTTCTGATACAGCACATAGCTTGACATGTTCTTTCTTAAGTGTTAACTGCTAGAACAGTGCCATTATATACAACAACTTTACTCTAAGTGCCTCCTTCAGACATCATGCTGAATACACAGACACACAGCTGCGAGAGGGGATTCAGCTAGACCAGTGGCTCCCAACCTTTGTAAACAAACATTGTTTGGTCATACTCACTTAACGGTAAGAAACTCAGCTAACTGAAGATACGATCCATTTTTACCGAAACAAAGCACAAGTCTCATAAGAAGCGTCTAAATGAACCCTGAGCGAAAAAATGCTAAGGCACTTAGCACAGAACTCAAGGTAAAATTACCCTTATTACTTATCGTAACTGCTAATACAAGATATCCGATTAAAGCTGAGATTCCACAGATTCTACAGATATTAGTATCATCACTGAGCGATCAGAACTCGCGACAGGGGAAGCAAACACAGACATCACAACACGTAGCATTACGGAGCAAACACGGGAGATCGTCTCACCTTAGCTGTTATTCCGATCAAAAGTCGTTTTCAATGGCATTAAAACGATAAAAACGCTACTGAAGGTTAATCCATAGGTTCATCCAATGTGTCTGTGTCACTTTGAAATTATTCCTGATAATCCATCATTCCATTTTTATGTCAATAACGGAGATTTCATATTAGCTGCTAATGATAGTCACCAGAGTGTATCGCAGCTTCTGGTTCCGGGGCATTCTGGCTGCGCAGCACTCATTCACCAATGGGTAATGTTTAGATGGATTTGAGGAACTTCCCCTCGATTCTATTGGCTCTAACGGTTAAAAAGAGATGTAAATCATCAAAATCGAACGAGGGGGGCCAGAGATATGGAAAATGCACCCAAATGACCCTAGAAGTGTTTTTTTTTTCCTAAATCTCTCTGAAAAGGTCAATTTTCACTTGTTTTGCATCAATCTTGATACAAGGTAATTATATGTTATAGTTTGGATTCCTAAAGCTTTTAATCTACTATCCCATCATTCAAGGGTGGTTTTCACTATAAGTAATTTTTTTTTTTGGAGCGAACAACTATTCCTTTGCAATGTAGCATCACATTGGATATGCGCTTAACTTGTCCTGGATCGGAATTTTTCCGATCATTTCCCTCGGAGGAGTTTGCAAAAATGTGCTTAAAATGCATGAAAAACGCACATTTTCAAAATGGCCGACTTCCTGGGGGTCGGGGCTAATAAAAGACCATTTGAAATATGTCCGCAGGCAATCCTAAGAGCAATGTGTATACAGCGTTTCGTGAATATCGGAAAAAGTGTATGCGACTAGTTTGGAGTAATTTGTGACATGTAAATCGTCAACAATGGTACATACTCCGTTAGCTAACGAGCTCCTCGTTTGAGCGATCAACTATTCCTTCACAATTTAACATCACATTGGAAATGGGCTGAACTTGTCCTAGATTCAATTTTTTCGATCTTTTCCCTAGGAGGAGTTCGCAAAAATGTGCTTAAAATGCATGAAAAATGCAAATGTTTCCAAATGGCCAACTTTCTCGGGGGCGGGGCTAATGGAAGCCAATTACAAATATGTCCGCAATCCCATGAGGAATGTCTGTGCCAAAATTCGTGAAGTTTGGAGAAACTATATGTGACTACCACACAATAGGGGGCTCCACTGAGCTATTTTAACAAAAAATTAAGATTTAGTTTTTTTACATTCTCGAAAATGTCGTGGGCTGTGATGTGTCCCAAGTTTTGCGTCTGAAGCTAATTTTATGCTGTCGCAATTTAAAAAAAAATGTGTAGGCCTCGCCCATGTTCGGCATTTCTTGCGACACTTTAAATCTCAGTTCATAGTCACCCCCAGAGTATGTCAAAAAAATATATATATTATTTTGTCCATCCGTGCTTGAGCTATACATTTGTGGTGCTTTTGGCACCCCCTATATTCCAAAATGAAAATGTTTTTGTGTGCTTATTCCCCAAGACAGACTGAACCTATACAAAATATGTGATATTTGGATACATTGTTGATGAGTTATGAGCATTTCTTTCTAAGCCCCAACTTTTTGCAAATACGTTTTGATTAATGGCGGCCATATTTATCGACTGAATATGCTCATTTCCTAGGGTAATGTGTGTGACCTTCCACCGATGCTGTATACTAAGTTCGGTGTGGAAAACAAAAAATTGTAATTTAACTGTTTTGAACCTTATGCTAATTTATAAAATTGCATAATGTCGAGCTTGAAGGTTCAAGAGGACCAAATGTAGAGCAGGTCCACCCGGATAAGTGTGCAAAATGTCAGGTCAAACGGTACACATAGGTGGCGCTAGCAAGCATGTTGGACAATTTGAACCCATTGACTCCAGAATGCCAAATTTTTCACCGGTCCTGGCGTCCGTGCAAAATTATACAACTTTTGAAGCGTCCTAAAGCCCTCAAAAACAGGAAACGCCACCAGAATAAGAATAATGGGGAGACCTGCTCAAGTAGGTTCCACATGAAACATTAAAAACATAACAGAGCAACAAAAGGACATCATACAGTAGCATTACAGGGATTACAATTTACATAACTATCCACATGAACAGGTACCAACAGCTTCCGATTCAGTAGCATCCAACCGAGCTTTAAAAACATTTAGTGGCACCAGATTGCTCAGTTTCCATTTTAATTGCAGACTATTCCAGGACAGTGGAGCTGCGCATCTAAATGCTATCTTCCCTAAGACAGTCCTAGCAGTTGGCACATTTAATAAAACC